ACTCTCACAAGTTTTGTAGACATCATCCCTTGTTTCCTTGGTTTGTATTTTCTGTTCACCCATGGCTGCTTTAATCACATCCACATCTCGCTGGGTAAACTGCAAACTCGTTTTTATCTCCTGTATTTCTCTGGTCATGTCGTCGAGTCTCTTGTTATTTGTCTCCATAAGTAGTTGCACAAAACCTTTGAAGTTATCTTGTTGTTGGCTCAACAGTGCGGTGTACATCTGCTTCTGCTGACTCAACATCTCTGTTACTTGCGCCGCTGAAATATAATCCACTTCTGCTTTGACATCCTCATTCGCTTCTGATTTATTAGCTCTTTTCCCTCTTGGAGGCATTTTAATAGTTGTAGAATTTGTTCAAAGACTTGAAAATGCAGAAGATGTGAAAAATCGTAGAACAGACAAGAGGAGCAGTAAAGACGTCTGCTCTCGCTTGCAACCCGGAAATTGCAATGTTTGCAACCCGGAAACCCAGAAACTGAACAAACACACAAGCAATACACACGCAGCTTGGAGAAGCTACCCACCGAGGATGGCACGCAGGTGACCCTCGAGAGTCTGCAGGATGACGCTCTTGATCTCTATGACTGTTTTCCCCAGGAACTGTTCGCAAGCGAAGCCCAGCAGTTCCTTTTCGGTCATCACCTTCACCTGGGACCAGTGTGGACAAACATCATCAGCTCAACACACATCCACAAACACAGGCACACACAGGTGTGGCACACATGAAAACTATGACATATACTGACTTTAGTGATATTATTCAATAACTCTTTACTAAGCTGAAAAAACTTAGAAAAAAATCAACCTGGCTAGATTTCTAGGTCGAAGACGTTTCACCTCTCATCCAGGAGGCTTTATCAGTTCTGAACTGATCCAGTAGATTTTTTCCTAAGTTTTTTCAGCTTACTATGACCTGGATGACTGAGAATCTGCACAAACTCTTTATTAAACATCACCGTTTTCTTTTCATTTAACCTCAGCAATATAACAGAGAAAAAAAACAGCTGAAAGTACAAAGGTAAGTGTAACATTTAGACAGACATCAACAACACACAAGTAGAATTGACAAAAATAATCTGTCTGTGACATGGATGAATAAAGCCTGGGTTGTTTTGAAAATTTCAGGTGCAAGTTCATCAAACTTGTGCATCATTATTTTGGCAAAAATAAGGTAACATATCCAAATCCCTTCCTATCTGTCTTTCAGGTACATTGTTTTTAAACATTTCAATAATTTTCCTCACACATATGTTGGTAAACTGGTGATCTGTCATGATTCTGTCCCGTTTGCTTCCTATCATGCTTTTATTTTGATACTACTTCCTGTCCCCAGCTCACCCTGACTCCCGGGAACTTTAGCTCATTATCCAAATTGGTTTCACCTGCTTCTGATTACCCACACCTGCTAAAAACAGTATATAGCAGCTTCTCACCCTGTGGGAAGCTGCCAGATTGTTCTTTAAGTCATGTCAGACTTTCCAGCGGTTTTTTTTTTTTTTTCTTCTCTTCCTTCCTCCTTCTTGTGCCTATATTTCCTATTTGATTGTGTTTTTGACCATTGTGTTCTGCCTTGCCCTCTTGATTCAGACTGCTTTCTGTGTATGGATTGTTGGACTTCCCTCTCTGACCTCTCATTTGTGGATTCCTCGGCTGTGTAAGTTTGCTGGCTATGACCTGAGTGTGTCTCGTGTTTACGTAGTTCTTTGTATCGTTCTTATCCTTGTCTGGCTCTTTAATTGAGTTCACCCCTCGACATTATCGGCAGCTCCACGCACCGATTCCTGACAGTGATCCTCTGCCTATCTATGCTCCTAAAGGGCTCGGCCTTTCCTGGATGCCACTTCTGTACCAAATCATGATTGCAGTCACCTGCTGACATCACCTGTTTCAGATGGAATTATCATTTCATTGTTTTACCTCATTATTGGCCCTGAAATGCAACCATCCCAATTTTTGTTGTGTTTTAGAACAAAGAATCAAATTGATGAGGTATCACATCAAATAATGTGCTGCTGTATTGTTGTGTATGTGATACAGGACACAGATGATTTACAAATCAGCATTTTCAGTTGTAGTTTTGAATTTACATACCATTTGAACTTTTTCCGATTTGGGGTTGTAAATCAGTTGTCAAATTCTGGGATTTATGACGATCAAAGCATAAACTTGTAATGAAAATGGCAGTCTAATACTTCTTGATGCACATATTTAAAGTCACTGTTTCACTCTACATTAGAGTGAATAAAACCCAATATCTGAGCTGGACTAATGTAGTGCAGAAATTTACTGTTGGAAAGCAAAAAAAATGTACTAAATAGAAAACTGAGTGAAGAAGAAAATAACTAGAGGGAAAATGATCAAAAAAGGGAGAATCAGGGCAGTGATAGGTTTACAAGAGTAGTCAGTGACAGTAAGAGATGTTACTTATACAGTGAAGAAATTTTAAGAAAGGTATAAGGTTTTGGGTGATGTTGTACTCCACTGGAGCTGCAAGAAAAAGTGAGCTGGGTCCTTCAGCGAGAGGTCTGCACATGGGTTTGTTCTGCAACATGCATTCTTACCAGGGATGAGGGCAACACAATGTCAGGGAAGATGAATGTTATTCCAAGGAAATGCACATCTGAAAACGGAAAAGGCTGCAGGCCAGCCCAAACAGACAGCATAGGGAGCTGTGCCGCATCTGAGACTGGAATATAGGCTTATGTGCTATGGTAATTTCTTTCCCTTAACTTCTGACCTCATACCCCAGCTCCCCCCATCCCTCTGACACCACCCTTCCTCCTGCCTCCTCCAAACAGTCAGTTCAGGATACAAAAGCACAAACACAAGAAATGTGACAGGAAAACAATGGCACCCACACTGTTCACTCAAATCAAGTTTTTGGTCCAAGGCCAGAATGTTTTTTTTTTTTTTTTTTAAAGGTGATGGATTATTCATGTCTTTCAAATGATGTGGTTTTACTGCCGATCAACCAGTAGGCAAAATCGCTCCTACTGAAAGTGATGAGGCAAAATTTGATTTAAGTTAAAGACTGATTTCTACCCAGTTGGTATAGTGAAGTGAAAACAATATTCAGATTAATAATCTGATCTCGTTTGCTTCAAATTTAAAGGAATGTAAAATTTAATTTAACTTTTTTTTTTGTTCTTTTAAATTACTTCTGCTGTGTTCATCACTCTGAGTTTAAACATATGTCTTTAATTTAAGAAGAACACACTACTACTACTACTACTACTACTACTACTACTACTACTGTTGCCATGGGGCATACACTGCATAATGGCTTTGGTTTAGGTTGGACCACTCGTATGGTGGCATGATGAACCTTGCTCTGAAGTGAACTGTGTGAGAGTGAGGGCCTGTTCAGCTCAGTGGGCTCAGTGTCAAGATGCATGTAGGAACACAGAGGAGAAAAACACTAACTCTGGCCAAAATACAGAACTGATAAAACAGGGAGAAACAAACAAGAGAAGAATATTCACAGAAATGCAGAAGATTGTGGTATATAATGAGTTCTTAATGAGAAAATCCACCATAAAAAAAAAAAAAAAAGATTTTACTTGTTACATTTGTTTATGGTTTGAACTTAGGCAACACGTGGTGTGGTGAAAACACCACGTAAACATGTTTTTGTAACTGACACAAACTTTAACCACGCCTTAGATACCTATAGCACAGGTTCTGATTTGTATTTCAGTGACTCTGGCACTGATAAAGCCACTGCAACACTAGATGAATGGATTGTACACTGTGTTTTAATTACATTATTAAACAGAGTAACAAGGAGAATGTTCCTTTTACCTTTTAACCTAACTAAAAACTTGTAGGAGACAACCACAGGCAGTCCAAGCTGACCAGTCACAGTTCTTGCAGCCTTAAACAGAACTCGGTAACTCTGTAGTAGCCACTATCAACACCACATGCACTTCCATTTTAGAGTATTTGCACGTCAGTAGACAGTGCAGCCTACAGTGTAGCTACAGCAGAACCTAATGCCAAATTAAAATCTAAAAACTAAAAGCTGTTCTTTAGCCCATCTGGTTCTTGGTAGTACATGCCTTTATTTACTCCATGTATGTTGGCTATAACATACATTATATACTGGTCTTGGCAGGAGAAATATAAATGGCCTTATACTTGTATAGCGCTTTTTTATGCATTGCAGCAGACTCAAAGCGCTTCCACACTATTTGGCCATTCACTCATTTGCACATCCAAGCACACACACATTCATGCACCGGTGACGTCACCGGGAGCAACTAGGGGTTCAGTGTCTTGCTCAAGGACACTTCGACATGTGGACTGGACAAGCCAGGAATCAAACTGCTAATAAGTGACTGCAGCTTATGCAGAAAGTTGTCAATCTTGAGAAAGGCCACATTAATACAATAGCATTTTTTTAAATTGTTTTTTCCACTATAGTATTTTAGCTTGCAAGTAATCACCTGCTGCTCGTGAAAAGCACTACACTGCAAGTAAAGAATATGACTGTTATGTAGTTTGTGTCCATGTTCTTCTTGTTGCTAACCTTTATTGTGTAAGGGTTCTTAGCCGAACTCGACTATGGAAATATTCAATATATACACTCACTGGCCGCTTTAAAAGTCACAGCTGTGCAATTGTATGCAATTCAATGCAGCACATCTGCCTTAACATCCATGTTTATAAAGCTCAAAATGTTTCAGTCTTTGGTGAAATTGTCAAATGTATAAAATCAATTATATGTTTATTATTGAGATCATAGTTAAAGGTGGTGTTGTATTGGACTACATTATATTTAGAGGTGGCTCTATATTTTTGCCCTCCCCAGCTACATATATGAAAGGGTCAGAATATTAGGAACACCTCTGAATAGAACTTAGTACAACACCACCTTTAACTATCACCTCAATAGTCAACATATAATTGAATGTATACAATGACAATTTCACCAAAAACAAACATTTTGAGCATCATAAACACAGATGACATGGTGGAAGTGTTGCTTTGAATTGCATAGAATTATACAGGTTACCCAATAAAGTGGCCTATCAGTGTATAGTAAGCTTATTTTAAGGTGGAGTTTCTCTTTAAAGGCTAACAGAACATACATTTGGTCAGTGACCAGGATCAAACTACCAAACAGTGCCACACCCACAAACAAAAGAAAAAACAAAACACTGGGACTGTCACATAAAACCTGGCTCTCCACAGACCCCTTCTCCTATTACTTTAGGACCAAGTTCAGACTGAAAATTATACAGTGTCAACAAAATGCAAGAGCTACTTTGGTGTGGGCATGCTGTTACAGGTACCAGTGAGATGATCAAATATGAAGCAGGACATCTAGTCTGAAGGCTTATCAGACACAGACTGCCAGGGCCAACCTAAGTAAATAAGGAGGCTGCATCTTCTTGACTGTGCTTCTGTCAGTCTGAGCGCATGCTGGGTCACTTAAGCTTAACAAGGTGTACTCTGCCCAGACAGGAGGGTAAATCATGCAGACAACACTTTGACTCAACATCTATCTTGGTGTAGCAATAACAAGATAGGTGTGCATCTCAACATGAGCCCTCTGTATCAAAAACCACTGCTGCTGTGATTATGGGGCGATACCAGTGGAAAGGAGGACAGGGGGATGTGTGGGTTTGTGGATTCTGAACTGGCATTCCCAGAAAAGTGTGGTGATTTACCTGAGCCACCCCAGTGACAGTAATAGCTACACCCTCCGCTGTCTCTACATCCTCACACTTGGGCTGCAGGGTCATAATCTCAAGCGTTATCCTGTGAAGAATGTGGAAAAATATAAAATAAAAAACTGACATGGTTGGAAGGACAACAAATGAAGGGAAGGACCAGAACATATGGAAATAAATAAACAAATAAACAGGGCAAAGTGAAACCATTCACCCAAGGACTCCAGATCACTAACAACGGAGCAAAGTGACATGCTATGCACATACAAATGATCTTGGGATTTAGGTTTTGGTCATAATCATTTTCATATGCTGCTAATTTCAAATAACTCATTTGTATTCAGCAAATCTTATATCCTCTTTTTAGTAATTTCTATAGCATTCATTTAGTGACCCCGTTGCCATTGGTGACTCAGAATTCAGCTTTATGGCAAAGCCCAAGTTAGTGACGCCGGATTATCTCCCTTTGACTGCAGAAGAAAAAACCATGAAGATGAGGAAAAACCAGACAAACATAGACAATGTTAGCTTTTTAGTTGAACCAGACTCTTGTGTCTTCCTTCGGTCTCCAGCACCAGCCACTGCTCTTGTATTTTGTTTTGTTTTCGGTCTTTAGAAATGCATTACCTGAGCCACCCCTGTCACATCCAGGGGAACACCCTCCGAGGTTTCGATATTCTCACAGCGACAGAGGATGGTCATAACCTCCAGAGACATTCTATGCAGGCAAGCAGACGGGAATAGCAGAGGCAAAACAGTAAGTTGGACAACAGCTGTTATGAGTGTCAGTAGCCAAGCTCATAATGGAGAGAATAGAGGGAGAGGGTAAAAGACACAACCTGAACTCCTGTTCTGATGGTTTAACACACAAGCTTCCTCTAGTCTCTGTCTGTTCATACATTCTTAAATAAACTGAGGCAGAGTGTAGGATCCAAGCCAGTGCTGACAGGATTCTTGACCCTAGAGACTCTACAAGATTATATTTATATGGAGATTATACAGGAATGTCCCCCACAAAAAATTACTTTTCTCCACTTTAATACTAGTTCATCTGGATGGTTTATGTGAGATTATGTTTGCAAAATGATAAAACATCCGAAGGTTGTTTTCTTTTGTTTTTACATAAATACTGACTCAGATTCATTTCTGTTGGAGTCCAAGACATGGGAGGCTGCTTGCAGCAAAACTTGGAAAGGGAAACTCAGGTTACTAGCTCCACCTTCCCCTGTCTTTCCAGGAGAACTGAATCAATAAGTCCCAGAGCTGGACATTAACATGATTACAGCATCACAAAACAGGAAGCCACACTGTCTCTCTGTGCTTTTATAATGCTGTCAGGGTAGTGGCTTATGCACATGGCTTTTAGCAGTAGTGGTCAGTACTGTGGAAAGGAGCTGGGGCATCTCTTCCGTTCTCATCTTCCAAAAAAACATGCAAGATGTTGACCAAACTGCAGCATAAAAATAGATGAAAGGAGAATCCTGGGACGGCTTGTCTTTAAATGAGGATTTAGAAATCCTGCCGTACATCAGCTTTATTTTGTTGCCGTGGTCTACCATTACGTTTCCTAGCAACTACAGACAAAGCGTAGCACTTGATGGAAAATGGGTAACCTCACAGAGACACACCAGAGCTGGCACAGGGTGAGATCAACACCAGACAAACCAAAGTGGGTGTGCAAAGAGAAAACAGAGGCAGGCAAACACCAAATAAAAAAATATTTAAAGCCAGAAGGTTCAGAGACAAAGAATATTAACACAGGTTAGTTCATTTTAAAAGGATTACTGTGCACTGTCACAGATGGCTTTCTAAAAGCTACATGTTTGGAGGTGGGAGAGAAACATCTCAAGCAACTGCGGGTTGAGGCTTTAAGTGAAAAATAAATACACTTAAAAACAGGCTTTAAACAATTTCCCATCATTTTGGCAGTACAGTCTAAATTTGTGGTCACTCAAACTCTGGCCACATGTACTGTGTAAGCCCAGATTCTGTAAACAGTTTCATTGCAAACAAAAGCTGCCTCACTTGGAGATTTTTAAGAGTAGGTAGTATTGTATAGCACTTGCTGCCTCAATAAAGCTCATACCATTCTGAGAGACCATTCCTACCCCAGACACAATCTGTTTGAACTGCTGCCTTCTGGCCGACGATACTGGGCAATCAAAACACGGACAAGTAGACTTAAAAACAGCTTTTATCCCAGAGCCATAGCCACACCAAATGCCTGATACTTTCCACAACATATCCACTATGATGTGTTGATATATTGGAATCGTGCAACAGTCCCACTAAAATGTGAAAATGTGTTGGGGGAGGTGTGTTTTAGGATGTTTTTAGACAATCATTATTTATATTTATACCGTCTTTTAGGTTTTTAAAACTATTGTAGCTCTTTTATAATTTATGCACAGAAGGATTGCATCTTAAATTTCAAAGCTATTCTATTCTATTCTACTCTGTATTTTACAGTGGGTTAGTCCAGGTTATTCCATAGAGTTCACCTCCTTTTAATTTTCATTATTTCAGCTGATTTAGACTTGACTAGATTAAGATCAGACTAAAGATCTTGTTTTCTGATTTGAAGCACTAGCAGAGAAACAATTATATAATTTATTATTTGTACTGTATAATATCAAACAAGTAACAACTTCTTTTGTGTTTGTTTTTACTTTTTTGTTTCTGGGTCAAGAGTCCAACTCACCATGAGGTGCGCAGTTACTGTTTTGCACATATTAGGTTTGTAACTTTCCCTGACCTTGCCATTATGTACCACCTGTTTATCTTTCCAGCATTATCTCTCAAGCTGGCTCAGTTGAGCTGAATTTAAAAGCAGCACCAGTGAGCTGCTATCTTAACACATTTGTTAAGCTTTAGTTTTAATATTGATGTTACGTCTCGATTCACCGTTACTGACTTGCATATTTTTCGTTGAGCTGTACATGGATACAAAGGAGAGATAAAACATTCCCGTCTTAATGAAAGATAAATTTTCAGGGTATGTGCAAAGCCAAATTTAACACTTCAACATTATTGACACTCCCTATACAAAACAGGCAAAACACAAAAACAAACAAAAAAAAAAGTTATTCTCAAATGTTAAAAGATAAATCATGTTAAGTCAAGTCATTATATTTGGTTTTCCTGTCAACAAATCCCATGAAAAGCCCAAAACCAACAATGCAATATTCTGCCTTGAGATGTGTTCAGAACCTGTTTGGAGTCCACCTAAGAAGGCACACACCTGTGTATATAGGTCCCATAATTCACACTTCATGTCAGGACAAAAATTACAATATGACATCCAAGGAACTCTGTTGACCTCTGTGATAAGGCTTCAATCAGAGCAAATGTATAAAACCATTTCTAGAGCTTTGAGTGTTCCCAGGTGCACAGCGTCCTCAGCAACTGTGAACTGGAAGAAGTTTGGAACCAGCAGGACTCTTCCTAGATTAAGCTGTTTGACCCAACTGAGTAACTGGACAAGAAGGGCTTTGGTCAGAGAGGTGACCAGGAACCCAACAGTCACTCAAACAGAACTTCAGAAGTCCTCTGCAGAGATGAAGAACCTGCTGAAAAGACAACTATCCAGCCATAGCCAGGCACTATGGCACTCTGAACACCAGGCATTGCTCATCACCTGCTAAGACCATCTCTACGGTGAAGCATGGTGGCAGCATCATGCAATGGGGGTGCTTCTCAGCAGCAGAGACAGGTCAGAACTGACGGAACGATGAATGCAGCTAAAATACAGAGAGGTCCTTGAAGAAAACCTGCTCCAAAGTGCAGTGATCTGAGACTGGTACGACAGTTCACCTTTCCACACAACAATGACCTGAAGCAGACAGCCAAGGCAACACTAGAGTGGCTGCAGGACAAGTCTCTGACTGTCCCTGAGCAGCCCAGACAAAGTCCAGATTTAAACCCCAGAGAGCATCTGTGGAGCAATCAGAAGATGGCAAAACAGACACCTCCCATCCAGTCTAATGGAGGTTGGGAGGATCTGCCAGGGAGAGCGAGAATAGTATAAATGGCCCAAGTTCAGGTGTGTAATAAGAGTGGATGTTGCAACTGCTGCAAAAGGAGTTTCTATTAAGTCCCGAATTAAGAGTCTGAATATATTTGTAAATGACAAATTTCAGTGTTTGATTTTTATTAAATTTGTAAAAAAAAAAAAAAAAAAAGTTTCACTTTGTCATATTATGGGTTGTATATAGACTGATGAGTAAAAACTGCAATGTTAACCATTTAAAATTAAATCCACAACACAATAAAAAATGCAAAAAGCAAAGGGGCCTTGATACTTTCTGATGTGACTATAAATCTGGCTACACACACATACATCTGAGTAGGATCAATTCATTGTTGGTTTGTTCTTTTTATTTGATTTGTTCACAAAAATATAGACTATAATATTAGCCTTATCCTTAAATCACATCTGCTTTATAAATTATGGCATATTATACTGTGTGTATATTTGCATTTTTTATTTTTCTGCTCTTTCCATTTTATGGGGTGGCTGTGGCTCAGGGAAGGTCGGCGGCTCGAGTCCCGCTCTCCCCAGTCCACACGTTGAAGTGTTCTTGGGCAAGACACTGAACCTCAAGTTATTCCCAATGGCCAGAGCAGCACCATCATTGGTGTATGTGTGTTTGAGTTGGCACCGCAGATGTCTGCCTCAGTTTTGTACCAGAGACAAATTCCTTGCGTGTGTAACATACTTGGCCAATAAAGGTGATTATTGTTATAAATGTACTAAACAAATGTAAAGGCCCACTGATCAATAGGTTTTGATATATCTTGCTCCACAAGTGGACATGTTGAGACCTAATGGTGGCATTAGAGTAACACTCAGGAGGTAACCAAGACAACCAAAAAAGCTACAGAAGTCTGACCACTACTTGTCCAGATTTCTCTCCCTGGACAAAACTAATGGACGATAACAGGCAAAAAAGAAAAAATGCTGATTGGTAAGGGACACAGAGTCTGAGTGCGTTTTAGTAAGGCATACTGTGTACAAGAAGCATTTTGAAATGTGGCATTTCCCAGAACAGACATGTCTTACCTCTGGATGTCAGAGATGAGCCACCAGGCCCAGGCCCAGCCCCCAACAACATATGTCTTCTGATCTGAGCCACAGCAGCCACCTTTGGAACAACACAGAGAAAACGGACATCACATGACTAGTCAATGTAGAAAAAACTGTAGCAGCATCAGTTTGTAATAAAACATTTACAGCATGTTTAGTCCTTTCATTTGACCAGCTAATGACCTTAACTGACAACTTCCTTATAAACAACTGTAAAACAAAATTCTGTGTGGAGTTTTAGCACGTCCACACATGATGCAAGCACATAGACATACCTAATGAATTAATACAACATATCGCTGGAAGGAATACCTTCATAATGATACATAAATGCACACTGCTATATTTCTACTTGCAGTAGCAGATTTGATGTTTGACCAAAATAATGTAAACCACTGACAAAGAGCTATCAGACAACGACCCAGTTTTCAAGTTCTGCATGTGGTTTCTATGATCATGTGCTGTTTAGCACGTAGACATACCTAATGAATTAATACAACATATTGCTGGAAGGAATACCTTCATAGTGATACATAAATGCACACTGCTATATTTCTACTTGCAGTAGCAGATTTGATGTTTGACCAAAATAGGGTAAACCACTGACAAAGAGCTATCAGATAACGACCCAGTTTTCAAGTTCTGCATGTGGTTTCTATGATCATGTGCTGTTTAGCAAGTCAAAAAACACAAACCACTTCCATCTTCCAATCACGGCCACATAATGTTTGTTCCTCTGGTGCACCAGTAGCATGTAGCACACCCTTGCTTTCAGGTGACACTGTTCAGTCTCCTGATTTGAAGTTACCCCTCTCCTACTGGCGGTTCTTGTGTATTACTGTATTTTAAGTATTTGTACTCTCAAATTAAGCAGGTAAGATGTATAACAATTACATGTGCTCCTTACTAAGCCTCTTTGAATAAGATGTTCTGGTGTTGCAGTGTGTGTTTATTCTGATTGTGGTGATTGATGTGATGTGAAATTTCAAGTCCTGACACAGTGTTTCAACACTTTACAAAGTAAAATACTTTTACAAGTAAAAGTAAAGTCAAAACATCTGTGATCTGTTAAAAGAAGTGATACTAAATCATTTGAAAGACTGAAAAGCAGTAACAGTAGATGGATGTCAACTAATGACTAAGTCAGGAGAGGTCAGTCTGATGACCCCGGTACGCAGAGGCAAGAGTGTGTACATGAAGATGGCTAACTGTGTTACTGACAAAATAGTGGATTTTGCTAAAGATGGATATCAGAAAATGGCTCATTTCATCTGCTGCCACCAAAGAAAGGAGTGGATTGAATCTACCTCACATCCAGATGGTGCAGGGATAGAAACCCACTGTGTCAGTGTTGAACATAATGTAGGTATCAGTGCTAGCACAAGCTTTAGCCAACAGGATGAAGTCAAAGCAGGTGGACTGCACATGCAAACTGAGTCCTGTCCATGACACAGATAAACCAAAACAGGTCATGCTAAAGGAATATCCAGCAAGAACATATGAGAAAGATCACTGAAAGGTAAGTGGAATTATTGTCTGAAATCTTCAGGGCCTATAGCACATATGTAGCTTCACTCATACTTGTTATAGATACTGTATATTTCTTGTGGCATATTTAATTTTTCTGAATTTCAGTTCTCTGCTTATTAGTGCCCTTATGGGGCTGATACATACTCTAACTGTTGTGTCTCTTGGTGCTGTACTGCGACTCACATTAGAAACCACTAATGTCATAGGTTTATAATAATAATATAGCCATGCCAGTCCACTGAAACTGAGGGGCCCAGCTGCACAAACAAGTCAAAGAGATGGAGATAACACAGCCAAAGATTTTACTTTTACTTGATGATAGATACAGAAATCAGTGACCCCGGGTACAGAATGAGTTACAACAACAAATGGTTGCAACGGATGTATAACAACGTGCATTAAGAGGACAACAGAACAAACTAATTATGAGGGACCAAAACACTGAAACGGATTTTTTCCTACGGAAGCCCATGAAATTAAGAAAAGTCCTGGGTGTACTGTGTCCAGCTCTGAGAAACATCAGCTAAGGACCAGGAGCAAGCCGTTTGTCTTACAGTTTAATTAATCTAGGTCTATTCCTCCTGCAGCAGAGAAGCGCCATATCCGGCCACCACTGTTCAAGGGATACAATATAAACGGGTTAGTTACTTCAGGCCTCTCTACAGTTCTTATACTGCGTTTGATAATGGCTGCGATTTTAATAATAAAATGCCCAAGTGAAAGCAATTTCTTGAGCAAAAGTTACACTTAGAAACCAAAATAAGAATAAATGTATAATTAAATCTGATCGCAATCCCTACCACAAACATGTTGCTGGAAGACTTGAACACGTTTAGCAATGATCTAGCTATATTTCCAGAAAAATATCGAACAAAAAAGGTAGATTTATAATGAGAACATTACAGTTCTGGTAAAAAAAAAAAAAAAAAAAAACACCATTGCCTAACCTAGCTTAGACATGAACTTCGTAAACGGATTGCCTCTCAGTTGCCATTAAGAGCCAAAACTTAACGTGAATAGACAAACCGATAAATACACACTAAGTTAAATGTCTTTCGGAGTGAGGGGTACTTGTCAAATACTACTGTAACTGTAATTACATGGTTGGTGGGTTGAAAATAACCCTCCTTTTCAAGCTATGAGAGTGTTGTAAGCTATGAGAGTGTTGTAAGCCTTTCGTCGAGCCTGTCGAGCCTTTCCAGCCCACAGCCCAGTAGCCCAATGAGCTAAAACATCGTCCAAAACGCGCGTATGTTACCTGAAACCACCAGGGCTTCGTTTGGTCCAACGGTGTGACAGTTTCCCATTTCACCTATAGAAAAAATGCGTATCTACACCTACTGGAAGCATGCAAAACCAAACTGACGTATAAACACTTCTCCCCCTTTTCCTGACAACTCAATAATCCTAACAACATTCGTGCCGTTGCTCCACGCCCCCAATAACATTTAGCACTTCCGTGAAAGGCTTTCAAAATAAAGCCTACGTTAATGAACATGTGTTCAGGCAATCGCTTGAGTTTTATTTTGGAGCTTACATTGTCATAATTCCGTGATTGTTTTGCTCTCACTTGACGCAGCTGATCGGGTACCCGTCCTCCACGGCAGAGGATATCGTTTCAAAACAGGCGTGGTTGTTGAAATACCATCTCACACGCAACCTAAACAAAAATCGCCATATCTTTTCTGAAAACCGCCCGTTGTCCTTTGACTTGTGTTTAGTTAATAAATCGCAGTGTTTATCAACACTCACAAGTTCATAGATTAGTATGGTTGGTAAGCCTACACCTAATGCAGAGGGGAGGATGTGCTAGTGTACAATTGTGCTATAATGTGTGCAAGCATGGGCGTTGCTAGACTTGAAGCTTTACTTGATGATAGACTTGATAACTATGCCAGCCAGCGGGAGGGTTAGTGGCAGTGGCAAGCATTATGCGAATGTGTAAATAGCGTAATATTGTGGTATAATCCTGAGTCATTGTGTTTTACGGTTCTTGTTATTGTTGTATTTTGAGGGGTTAAAAATGACTGTTGGGTTCATGCTGTGTGTGTTGGGTTGCAT